TTCTCTGGGCAACCTGTGCCAGGGCCTCACCACCCTCACAGCAAAGAATTCCTTCCTAATATCCCATCTATCCCTGTCCTCTGGCAGTGGGAAGCCATTCCCCCTTGTCCTGTCACTCTTGTAAAAAGTCCTTCTCCACCTTTTTTGTAGGTTCCCTTCAGGTACTGGAACTACTGATTATTACTTGTATTCTAGTAAGACTCAGTCAAGTTATAATCAACCCACATTGTGCTAAAAACTAAGTTACAAACATTTTTAGGTTTGGGTTCATTGTTTTTTTTTCCATTCAGCAGGCAGTTTCAGCCTGAAATACAAAAGGAATCATGCAGTGGGGAAAAATTTGCTTTTAAATAATTATTTCATTACAACAGATTCTTCAAGGTCACATACAGACCACTGCAGAAGCAACAAGTCATGAAAACAAAACAAAAAGTGCCAATACAGAGATTTGCTTTACCACTTTTGTGTATTTAACACAGAAAATATATATATATATAAATAGGAGAACTGTGATAAAAGAAGGGCAAACAAGAAACATGCACCATTCTGAATCAGCTGCACAAGACAGTACAATTCTTGACTCTAGATAGCACTAGAACTTCTTTGTAGCTATAAAAGGCTTCAAATTTCAATCCAAAATAAACAGGGATTTATTGAAGACTTCAAGTCAATGTATCCTGCTATGTCATCAGTCTCAATAACAGCAGGGCTGCACCCTGCCTAGAAATGTAGATCTCCACTAACAACTGCCAGTCACCATTATAAACTGGTCAATAAAAACCACTTTATTTACATAAAACACTGTTTTTCCATCACCAGCTTTAGGGCCAAAACTCGGTTCTGGTTTTAATTCAACAAACAAGTAGAATTTATAGGGCTAGACAGAGCTTCCATCCCTCTGTCTGTCTTGCAACTCCAACTCCACAGTGCTCTCCTGGCAAAACTGTCCATAAACCCAAGTCTGTAACTACCAGCAGTGGTTCTGGGTTGTGATGGAAAGCAGGAAAAACCCACATGCACATGAAGTATATAAAGTTCCCTCAAACAATTTGGAGCAGGAGGGGAGTTGCTTGTTCCTCTGAAATAATACACCTCACCAACACTTTGGCTCAGAGCAATCAGCACTCACAGAGATTTCTGTCAGTGGTTTTTTTGGCACAGTTTTAGAACAAACTCCAAACAGAAACTCAAGCGTGGCTGAAGAGCTAATGATGTGGAAAATGTACAGAATCTCCCCAAATTGCGCTTGCCATTCTAAAAGGTTTATTTTGTGTCTCAAGTTACAAGTGTTTCTCCAAACATGACACAATTTTATCTCACGTAACAGGAATTTTCCATTCATATACCTCATTGTGGGGGGCGATGTAAAGCTCATAATGTAATGGTTCCACTTTCTATAAACAGACAGCTGAAAGGGAAGGGGAGGAAAAAAAAAAAGAGAAGATTCTTGAAAATTTTGAAAAATCTCTTCCACCTATTATTCTCTCCCTCCATAAAAAAAAAAAATCTGGAGAAGTGAAACGATCCCCTGTGGGATCTTGTGGTGATATCACTGGTGTTGTGCTCCCAAAGACATTACAGTGCCTCTCCTGGCACACCACATGTATTAATTAGTCTTACCAAAATACAACTTCCAGAATCAGAGACATCAGCTGAGAGGTGACTAACAAGTTTTTGGTGTTACAGGTGGTTGTTTGGAGTAATCAGTTACCAACGTTCTTAAAATTATTTTGATGGTTTGGACATTCCTGATCCGATTTTGGCTCCTTGCAGGAAGAGAACATGGCTTGTTTTTCCAAGGTTTATCTTTACCTGTGATACACCATCAAGTTCCTCAACTCCTTGTTTCACACTAGTCCCCAGCTGTCTCTGCCACACACACACACACACACACTGGTTCATTCCAAGCTTTTACCTGAATTTAATCAATTATTTATTTTAGCTGTGAAACCTGAGTGCAGGATGGCAGGGAGAAGATGCTACATATCCCTGCAGCCCTCTGCTGTCCCCAGGGATGAGGGCCCTTCTTTGGGCACTTACAGCTTTATATCCTTCTTAAATTACAGACCCAAGGCAGCACACAGGACTCGAGCACCATCCCTGGCCAACCCACCAGACCTGTCGGGATTTTCACACACCATTTTCTCACATTAAGCGTTTTATTCACAAATTTTGCTGCCAGGCCACAAACCCATTCTGTGTACACGTATTTAAAACCTGGGACACAGGAGTTTTTCCTTGGAAAAATCTTGCTGTTTGACCCCCTCCTCACTGGAAATAATCTTTAATATTTCTGGGAGGGTATTTATTGTTGCATCAGAGGCATCAGTGTCTTGTGTCACGTAACATAAGCGTTATTATCTCTTAAAAGAAAGACAACCAAAAAAACCTCATAACCCCAAACAGTCACACATAAGCCCAAAATTACCACTCAATTTCTTATTGTTGTCCACACAACAAAACTCTATTTTCTTATATGAAATAAAGACTTCCCATAATCCAACTCCTGTCCACCATCTCTTCTCTTTCTGCTACACACCTCTCTGGCTCCATTTTTTTTAGACCCTCCTATTAGACACTCATAAACAGCGGTTTCTGCCCCAACCAATTACCTAAAAGCCCAATTAAAATTCTGGTTCAATCACCAATTTGATTTCACCAATTAAATCTCCCAAACTACATATTTCAGCCCTCATGTGTGGCCATTTTTCCTCGCATTCCACAGGCATCCAATCACCAAACTGACAAAAACTTCCAGAAGGTAAAACCTTGGTGTCATTTCCTTTTGATTTGCCAAAAGGACGCTTTTTTGGCAGAAAACTAACTCCTGTTAGTCCTTCCTATAAAATACACCATAAACAAGCTTTAGCACATCCCAATTTGATGTGCTGGACAGCAGCTCAATTCAAGAAATAATCAGAAAACCCTAACAAGTAATCAGCTACAAACATTTGTCATTTAATTCTGCCAGGTGCCAAGGGTAACAAGGAAACTCACAGGACTTCCTCAAGTTTGCTTTTTTTTTTTTCCCCAAATTTTTTCCTACACTTAGTTTGGATTTCCCACTTACAGATGATCCCTATTTATTTCTGCCACAGCCATTATCACCACTTCAGATTCCACACAACATTATTATGATTTCTTCCACGTGAAGGCACCCAAACTCCAGAGAATTCCTTTGATCTTTTCAAAGAACAACCAGCAGCATTACCATTGTTGCTGTTAATTAATTTATTTATCAGTCTGATGTTGCTGCTTCCATAAAGGTATGATCCCCAGAGTTCAAGTCTGCGATACCTTTCTCCTGAAGAGGCAAAATCAATCCCAAGGGAATAAAAATACAGCAAATTTCACATCTTTATCAAGGAGTTCGAGTGTTGCACATAATCTCTAAAGGCACCAGAGCTAAAAATAAAAGCAAACGGCATACCTGTTCCTTCATGCAGTGGCTGTAGGAGTTATTAAAATGATGTTTACAGCCACAGTGACTGGCTGTCCTCACGTTGCCTCAATCCTTATGATGTATTTCTTCCCACTGCTCATCTTGGTCTGCAACATCTGGATTGTTTTAATTCTCCATTATGCTCAGTCGTGTAATTTTTGTACCTCTGCTATCATATTCTGGGGTTTAATAAACTGGTCTTCTCCTTGATCCTTCCATCATCTGTTTCTTCATTCCCTGGACCCACCCTAAATCCTGCCATTCCAAGCAATTTGTTCTGACAATCCTTCTCGGGGAAGGTTTCATTAAAACCTCCAGCTGTGGAAGTGAAGTTACTAATGTAGGACTAAAAACCAAAAATCTCCCCACCTGGAGATCTTGCGCTGGCCCTACTGGGAATCCCACCAAACTCAAACCACTTGTGCCCAGCCATTCCTTTCACTTCAAACAACACCCTTGGAAGTCCCCGTGACATTATTGTCTAAACTGATGCCAAAAATCCCTGCTTGTGCCTGGCTCCTCCACAACTTAGTTCTGTGTATGTCTAAACGCAGGTTGCAGAAACGCCTTAACGTAATTTTAAAAACCAAAATCCCAAACTATCAATTTATGCATTTCTTCCTATTAATTAACAGCCAGAGTTACTGAAGGAATAACGAAAAATGCTGCAAAAAGAGATCCATTTGAATGCCCTGAGGACAAGCAGCAGCCCAGCTCTTACAAGTGAGGCAGCCAAAAATCTTCTTTTTCCCCCTGGAACCATCTTTCACGTTAGTTAAATTCAGGTCAAAACTCCATGCTAGATAAAGTCAAAGTCAGTTAAAAGCTCCACGTTAGCTAAAGTCCAGTAAAAACTCTGTGCAACAGCCCTAACACCTATTTGCACAGAAGAACAGAAAACAGGACCACGAAAAGAACGTTTGGCATTAAGAGCATGGTTTAAGAGAGCAAAGACTGTTCATTTTCCGCCGTTAGAAAGTTCTGTTTTCTGCACACAAAATGATCATCCCAAAACTCTACAGGGCACCTGCTCAAGCACATTCTTGCTCTGTTATGTGCTAGGACGGAAGGCTCACATCCATCTCCGTGTTTTATCATGGAATCACAGAATGGCTTGCGTTGGAAGGGACCTTACAGGTCATCTCATTCCAACCCCCCGCCATGGGCAGGGACACCTTCCACTAGCCCAGGTTGCTCCAAGCCCCGTCCAACCCGGCCTTGGACACTTCCAGAGATCCAGGGGCAGCTACAGGTTCTCTGGTAACCTGTGCCAGGGCCTTATGGCTATCAGGAACATGAACAGCGGTGGATACGCATCCAAGAGGGATTAAAATGGAACGACGCCAGCGAAACGCGCCCGCGCGCTCCCTCAGCGCCCTCACGAAGCCCCGCCCCCCAGGGCGCGAGACCGCCCCTTCCCGCCAAGTGGCCTCAGCCAATCAGCGCAGAGATCGCCACAGCCGGCTGCGCTGTTTGTCTCTTAAAGCCCGCCCTCCTCCCCCGCTCACCAATCAGAGCGCTCCTCTCATGCGGCCCCGGGGGAGGCCCGCTTGGCTCTCCACGCACCCTGTGAGCCGCAGCTCCCCATTGGGCGATGCGTAGGTGGGCGGGGCCAGTTCGAACGGGTGGCGGCGCCATGGTGAACCCGGTGAGGGATCGGGATCGGGGCCGGGGCACAGCCGAGGGTCCTGGCCCCCAGGTGAGCCCCTCGCTCTCCCCGCAGCCCAGCGCGGCGCCCGCCGACGGCTTCGCCTCCTCAGACGACGAGGCCGCCGAGGAGGACCCGAGCCCGCTCCACATCTCCTGGTGAGGCGCCGCCCGCGGGGGTCCCTTCCCTCAGGAAATTGCATTAAATCCCTCTTCTGACCAAGAGGAGCTCTGGTCACCTGCCAGGGTTGTGGGTGGGTGGCGATGTCCCTGAAAACGGATTAAAGCGGTGCCGGGGAACTGTCAGTGGAAGTGGCTGGCGTTGGAAGGGGCCTCTGGAACCCGCCCAGGGCGATCCCCCTGTTCAGGCAGGTTCACCCAGAGCAGGATGACATCCAGGTGGGTTTTCGATATCTCCAGGGATGGAGACTCCAGATCTTCCTTGGGCAGTTCCAGGGCTCTGTTCTTCCCTGTGAAGGCAGCGAGGCCCTGGCACAGGTTGCCCAGAGAAGCTGTGGCTGCCCCCGGATCCCTGGAAGTGTTCCAGGCCAGGTTGGACAGGGCTTGGAGCAACCTGGGCTAGTGGAAGGTGTCCCTGCCCATGGCAGGGGGTGGAATGGGATGAGTTTTAATCCCTTTGCCATGAAACGAGCGTTTTAAGGCCGCTCAAAAAATCACCAGCAAAGGTATCAGTGAAAGCAGGTTTAATATAAAGGCAATGGCACAACAGAGTTCGTGGCAAGGGTCACTACTACTTACTAAACAGTTAAAATACACCAAGTAAAAAGCACACAAAAATCTAAAACCACTTTCAGTACCAGTCCAGAGACTCCATGTCTGTGGAGGCTGTGGTTGTGGAGGGGTAGGTAAGTGAGGCAAAAGGACAGAAGGTATAAGGACAAAAAGGAATACAGCCCATCACAGCCCAAAGGCCTGACAACACTTATCTTATAACTTATAGCTTAACTTAACACTTAATACCATTAACTTAACATTTAACTTATGACTTAACTTAATCTAACAGCACTTAACTTATAACTTAACTCTTAACCTGTTAACAATTTAACTTGGATCTATATATGATTTACTATACTATGACACTCACTTACTTATAAACCTAAAGTACTTAAGAATTTAAGAAAGCAGTGTCCCTGGCACATTTGATACAGCATATGCACACAGACACAAAGGGTCTGCACAAGGCACCCGTGAAAAATTCCCCTCGAGTTCCGTGAAATACTCACTTGGAATGTTTTTGCATTCTCCCCAACGGGAGAAGGACGGAGGAGTGAGATGTCAGCCCAGGATTTGTCAGTCAGGATCCCCCAGGAAATAGCAAACATGAAAGTTGCCACCTCTGAGAGGTGTCCCAGCTCAGGGGGGGGTCTCTGGTTGCCACAGCCCAGGAGAGCTGAGCGGGTCTCATTTTGGGACACCGTTTGTAGGGTCAAAAGAGAGTGGGCTTCAGTCGTGATAACCTGTCACCTCAGCCACACTTTGCATTCTTACACTTTGAAAGTGTTTTTCAGGCAAAAAGTTTCCAGGGATGTCCATCAGAAAAGCAAGGGACTCGTCACACAGCACAGCACTGGGAACAGGCAGGATTTCTGACGAGCTCCAAGCAGCTCAGCCTGAGCGTTGGCAAGGCCGAGGCCTAACGAGCACTACTCAGGGGTACTACGAGATCACAGTCAGGGGTGAGGAGGGGGGATTGCACCACCACACCCTTCCAACCCAAACCCTTCTGGGGTTCTGTGATTTTGTCGCCCTCCAAAAAGTTTTTCCTCATAATCAGATGGAGCCTCCCGTGATTCAGTTTGCGCCCGTTGCCCCCTGTCCTGTCACCAGGCACCACTCAAAGGGTCTGGTCCCATCCTCTTGACACCTGCCCTCAAGATGCTTATAAATTTAAATAATCAAACTCTCACCTTCTGATTTATGTTTATTTTTAATTTTCCGATAGGTTGTCTTTGTCTCCTCTCTACTCTTCCAAGTTCCTGGGATTATGCTCCCTTCCAGGTAAGAAGCATTCACTGAAGTTTGCATGTTTGAAAGCTGAAGAGGGGTAATACCTTGTACCCCAAAATTCTCTGTGGCTTATTTTGTAATCTACCACTGGAATAATTGTTTTGGAAACAACAGAGCAAATCCATAGAATATCTTAATATAAGATCACATTTTTTTAATGTATAGAATAAACATACAAGCTTCCACTGTATTTTTAACTACCAAAACTGCAGCCATGGTGAATCTCCTGTGGTCACCAGACCACTCAGCTCTTAACTGATCTTTACCCACCCCTTTTATTTCTTGTATTTTTATTTTTTTGTTTGTGTCTTTTTATGCTTTACCCTGATTTAAAATTTCCAAAACTTTTTATCTGGAAAACCCAAAGCAGCTTAAAACCTTGGGCAGATTTCTTCTTTTAATCCTATTACATTAGAGCATTAAGCAGATAATGGTGCTTGAACTGCCTCCTGTGCCAGGGATCTACTTGTAAAAAAAAAAAAGAACTTGTTTTTTGCTTGGGGTGTGGCTTGGTTGCTCGCTCTGGTTTTGGGGGGAGGTTGCCTGTGCTCTGCTCTTCAGCTGCAGCAGCCATTCCATAAATGTCACTTACCTGGAGCGGGAATTTTTGTCCATAATTTGTTTCAGGTTGCAGGTTTAAGGATGTCAGGAGGAATCTTCAGAAGGATGTAGGTGAGTCTTCTGGCCAGTGTGTAAAGTGCCTCTTGCTCGTGTAAAGGGCAAGAAAAAGGTGCAGCTGCAGCAAATATCTTGGCACAGTCACAGATCACTTTTAGATGTGCCAGTGCCACTTCCCCTGTGGCTTCCCTACAAATACAGGATAAATAGTTGGGGTATTTCCAGGCTGGAGCAACACAGACATCTGTGTGTCCTTCACAGGAACCATGAGGCATCTTTAAAGCAGCTTTAAAGCACCAAGATGAATTACAAACTGGTAACATCCCCTTCCCAGAGGAAAGTGAGGTTGGGATGGAAAGATGGGATTATTTAAAGATTTGTGCTGAGTATTCACCTGTGAGCACTAGAAGGGCAGAGGCTGATAGCACAAACCCCACAGTGTTTGGACAAGTGAAGCTTGGGAAGAAAATCCTGGGTGAGTCCCTGGCACAGGTTTGCCCAGAGAAGCTGTGGCTGCCCCTGGATCCCTGGAAGTGTTCCAGGCCAGGTTGGACGGGGCTTGGAGCCACTTGGGATAGTGGAAGGTGTCCCTGCCCATGGCAGGGGGGTAGAATGAGATGGGCTTTCAGGTCCCTTCCAAGCCAAACCATTCTGGGACTCAGTGATTTTAAGCTGGAGATGGGACAGAAAGATGCAGTGCTGATGTGCTTCCTAGTGAGGCTTCTCTCAGGACTCCCTCTGAACTGAGAAAACTCCTCACCTGGATCATCTGAAGGCAAACGTGGGGGAGACTCAGTGGAAGGAAATGCTGCTCAAAGCAAAATTTCTCACTCCTGTTGTCTTAACCTCAGAGATTAAACAAGAGACTCAGTACCAAGCAGCTTATCTGTGTATCCCTGAGCTCGATAGGCTTTTGTTTATTTGCAAGTGTATTAATCCATTGGCAGGAGAACTGAAGAACTGTGGGATCCAGGACGTATTTGTGCTCTGTACCAGAGGAGAGCTCTTAAAATACCGAGTGCCAAACCTGATAGACACCTACCAACAGCACGGGATGTGCGTGCACCACCATCCCATTCCTGACGGGAACGCTCCTGACATCGCCACGTGCTGCGAAATCCTGGAAGAGCTCAGAAGCTGCCTGGAAAATAACCGGAAAACAATGATACAGTAGGTCCTGGTGAGATGTATAAGCAGGTGAAACAGAATGGTTTGAAATGGTAATTGCAGTCTTTTGGGTTAGTTCAAGCTGTGAAAAGCTGCTTGTTCCTCCTTCTCCACCTTTTTGGAGAGAACTCGTCCTTTGGAAGATTAGAGTGTCCCATTTCCCCTTGCTCTGTCCAGCAGAGAGTGTTGAAGGGCTCCTTGCTCCCAGCCTACCTGGATAGCAGGTGTGCAGCAGGAGATGTGAGCTAAACCAGCTCTTGTCAGAGGTTGTGGCTGCCCCATCCCTGGAAGTGTTCCAGGCCAGGTTGGACGGGGCTTGGAGCAACCTGGTCCAGTGGAAGATGTCCCTGCCCATGGCAGGGGGTTGGAATGGTCTTTAAGGTCCCTTCCAACCCAAACCAGTCTATGACTCTATAACAGGCCCCTGGGCTGTTTATTGGGAACTCAGTGGGTTCCAGCAGTGCAAAATTCCCTCTTAAATTGCATGAAACTGGTTTAAAGTAATTTATTTAGACACCTGTAGCTGAGCTCAGGGGGGAAGAGCTTTCCATGTTCCCTGAATGACCCAGCACAGACATCCACCGACTCCTTGGTTTTCCTGCTGGTGCAGAACCCTGCTGTCCTCACAGGTATCCTCAAAACCTTAATCTGGAGTAGGATCTAAAGAAAATTCAGGGTGTCCATCCTCGTGCCATTTTCTGTCCTCCCATGCCTTTGGGACTATTACCAGGAATGAAAGGGAACTTTAAAACTGAAGTTTCTCTGGAAGACACTTAAGGAAGATCTGAAGAACAAATAGGAGGTATCCCTGTAGGTATAGAAATAGAATATATAAAATACACAGAAATTCTTGTTGACTCCCTTGTGCCACTGCTGCTGTTGATGATGTTGAGGTGAGAATTGTGTCCATATATTTATGCACTGGGGGGGGTCTCTGGGTGTTGCAGTTTCCCACAGCTTCTTACAACCAGATGTTTCCTTCTCTCCCAGCTGTTACGGTGGCCTTGGGCGCTCCTGTCTCGGTAAGAACTTGTCTTACTATAAAGGGGATGGACTTGTTCCTCTGCATCCTCCTTCACCCCAGTGTTCCAGAGCATTAGTTCCCGTGTGTGACCCAGAAGGAAGGGGTGGTGATACTGCCAGGAGACACGAAGGGGAATTAACTGGGTGTACTGGCACTCATTCTTGAAAAGCCTAGGAATTGCATCCCAAGTGCTGCTAGGAAGGCAGGGTAGAACAATGTTTCCAAAGCCTGCAGGCTTGGACAGGAGCAGCAGCAGATGGGCCAGTGCCCAGAAATAGGATTCAGGAAAAAACCCAACAGATGTGTGACCCTGATGGGAGTTTTGCTGGGGTGGTTTTCCCGGGACAAGCCTGTGGCTGTGCATCCATGTGCACACACCTTTCCCTTGCAGTGGCTGCCTGTCTCCTGCTCCAGCTCTCGGACACACTGGCACCTCAGCAGGTGATAGAGAGCCTCAGGAACCTGAGGGGATCCAGGGCCATACAGACCATCAAGGTAACGGGGCTGCAGCAGGTGACACACGTGTCCAAACATGAGGGACAGCTCGGCCAGGGAGGGTCCCTGCCATTCCCAAAGGGATCCCTCTGTCTTTCCAACATGCTCCACAGCTGCTCCCTGGGGTTTGAGCTGTTCCCTGCTGAAGCTGCTGAACAGCTTCTCCCAGGGAACAAGCGACAGGACGAAAGGAAATGGCCTCAGGTTGTGCCAGGGGAAGTTTAGGTTGGATATTAAGGAAAATTTCCTCATGGAAAGGATTGTCCAGCCCTGGCACAGCTGCCCAAGTCAGTGGTGGAGTCCCCATCCCTGGAGGGATTCAAAAGCCCTGTGGATGTGGCACTTGGGGACGTGGGTCAGTGGTGGCCTTGGCAGTGCTGAGGGAACAGTTGGACTTGGTGATCTTGGAGGGCTTTTCCAACCTAAATCATTCCATGATGCAAAATAAAGCAGCTTTGAATTCTGACACTGAGCTCCCACCTATGAGGACCATGTTTTGCATTACCTTGGGCTCACATTGCCCTTGACGGGATCCAAGCCAAGATCCCTGTAATCTGTGTCTGACAGCGAAAAATTCCAGAGGGTTGGATCAAGCACAAGAAGAACAAACCAGACTAGAGGGTGCAGTTTTCCTCCTGGGGTATCAAACAAATTTTTAAGAGGGGCGGTGCCTCTTCTGACAGCACAGAGCACTCACTGCAGACCTGGTTGTGCTTTTCCAGCAGTACAATTTCCTCCATGATTTCCGGGAGAACCTGGCTGCACACCTGGCAACGACGGACACGGTGCCGAGATCGGCATCGCGGTAGCTGGCACTGCCCTGGGCATCTCTGTCTGTGGAACACACGTGGATGAGACCCCTCTCCCCTGACCTTGACTTCCTCACTGCTCCTGCCTGGGGGACACAGCTGCTCCCTCCCAAATCCGGCTGTGAAACTCCGGGGTGGGGATGGAGATCCCACAGGATGTGCAGCATCTGCCCCTCCTTGGTGACTTTAATACTCACTGCCTTAAAAATACATCTGCAAGTGTGGTTGTGCTCACTGCTGTTCTGGTGGCCTGCACGCCTGGCTTTCCATATAATAATCTGGATTCCTGTTGGGATGACGGAGCTGGATAAAAATTACAACACTGGAGCTGTTTACAAACACTCTCAGCAAAGCCAGGCTGGAGGGCTCACCCCTTATGAGCTGTAAGAACTCGTTCTAAAACGTCACATTTCCGCTCCCTGTGTTCAGGAATATTTAGGAATGGGTCCCCTCATTCCACAAGTAGGAGGTGTCGCACCACAGATCTGTAACAAGCCAAACAGGTGGGTTTTTAGGTGGCTGCCGGGAGGAGACACTGCTGTAGCTGCGTGGGTGAGGCTCTGGCACAGCCCTTCTGCCTGCTGACAGCAGAGAAAGTAAACAAACAATCAGCTGTGAGCCGGAGAGGATCCCACAGGAACACTCCTCCAACAGTCCCCATCCCTCCTGTTCCACTATATCCACTCATGAAGGGAAGATGAACAGGCAGGTTTTGATAAAACTTTGATTTTTTCAGGACCTTCCCAAGTCAGAAGTTGTGACATGAGACTCCACCACAGCTCCAGTGGCTTTGAGTTGGAGGAGAACTGACTTGAATTTAAATTTCTCTCTTTAACATGTTTAAAACCAGACACTTGAGCGCAGGTTTAAAGGTGATTTCTACAGATTAATTAATTTTTACTGCCATTCCCTTCTCCACTCCTACAGCAGACACAGGAACTCCTCCAGTTTCCACTTAGAGAAAATACTCTGCTCCAAATGTGCCCTGGTGTTTAATCCTTGCAGCTGATGGGTTTCAGATATTAAGTATTTATCGTATGACTCAGCAGGAAACTTGCTGACAGGGAGAGAAATGTTCTTTATTCTCTCCATAATCTTTTGCCTCCTGGAACTCCAAAACTAATGACAATCAGAAAAGCAATTCTATGTATGTATTATGTATTTTAATAGCTCTCAGGACTATTCTTCTTCCTTCAGGAAGAGGATCTGAAGTTACCACAGCCTGAGTTCTCTTAGTCCCAGTACATTGTAAAAAGAGAAGAATTCAGAGCAGAGAGGAGGAAACTGCCACTCTGCATCCCCTGGGCACCCAAACTTGGTGTGGTAATAGCCTGGAACAGGGAAAATTTGTGGAGGAGAAAGGACAGACCCAAAGCTACAGAAGGAATTCCAACCAGGAAGAGATCAAGCAGAATTCTCTGCTCTGACAGATCACTCATAAATAACAGCATAAATAACATGGAAATAGGAGTTTAGGGGCACCAAATGAAATCTGGCAGAACTGCTGAACAAGTATGTTTAACAGTAATTAATTCCACTGCAGAACTCACTTTCTTGGGATTGCCCAGAGAAGCTGTGGCTGCCCCATCCCTGGAAGTGTTCAAGGCCAGGTTGGACAGGGCTTGGAGAAACCTGGGATAGTGGAAAGTTGGAACTGGATGGTCTTTAAGGTCCCTTCCAACCCAAACCATTCTGTGGTTCTGGGATCTTCCATACCAGGTTATAAAAGTGCTCAGAAAGCAGCTGAACCGATGGCAGAGAAGCCCTTCAGGGCTGTTTAAGGTGCCAAAGCTCTCCCAGGACACCTGTAACACTCAAATTTCCAAACCCTCTCTCACTCCTCAGGCAGAGATGTTCAACACCTGCCCTGTCTCATACTGTTCTTCCTCAGCTGTTGCCACTGCCCAACACACCAGTACTGGAGTACCTGGATTTCTGGTGGACCCCAGTGCAAACACTGGTACAACTTTTGTTGCCTCTGACACCCCAGAGACCCAAAGTGAACAAATACACCGTTTATACAAAAGGAAAAGTTTTACTAGAACTGGGAAACTCTGCATTGTTCTCCAGCACAGGTAAATGAGAAAGTTTATGAGTAATAATTAGGAGTCTAAGCAGCTGTTTGCAGTCACAATTTACAATATTTATGTGAAACATCTCCCCCTGCCCCATCTACTATTTAAACTTCATGAAAAAAGGCAGGAAATGAGAGCTTCCCTTTTCCAGACATTACTTGATTCCATGTTCTATTTTTAGAGGGAATGCAATTATCCATGTAAATCTGAGCAATGGACACAGCGAGGATCTGCCGAATTTAGAAACAAAACAAGGCACCAGATGAAAGGAGGTGTTGCTGAATTTGAGATTTGTTTTTTATTGTCATTTATTGCACTAAGGAACAGTGGGGCAGTTTCACAATCTCACTTTCTGCTTTGAGAAAGTCTGGAGTATTTATTACTCTTAAACCCAAGAGTGTTTTCATTACTGGACTTGGTAAATGTTGGAGGTTTATCCATTTGTTAATCAGACAGCACAGACATTTAAAAAAAAAAAATTATTTAAATTCATTCCTCCATGGACAATTCAGCTTCTCCTACCACAGTGACACAGGCTCGAGATTAAAGCAGGGCTAATGTTTGGAAGAGATACAGAAGGACCTGGACCATGCACAAAAAGGGAAAGACTAACCAGACAGAAAAAAAACAAAACCAAACCAAACCAAAATAGAACTATTTTTGCAACTGTGTCCATGAATTCATATCCTAAGACCAACGTCACCTACGGGCAAAACACAGCATTCCAGTCCTTCCCAAGCACTCGGAGCTACGGCTGATTTAGAGTTAAGAGTGGGATACACAAGTCCAAGTGAGCCACTACAAAGCCCAGCCTAAAGCAAATCCCTAGTTGTCCTAAGGCTAGTAGTAACCAACAGCTACTCGAAGGTTATGGCTGTTCCTTAGCAGTGCAAAGTCAAAACTTTCCAAACCCCAGTCACCTTTATATTAATTTACACGTAATTCTTTAATTTCAGCGTCCCAGGAAAATATAAGAAAACAGTCTTTCCACAAGTGTAAAATGTGGAAACATTTTAAAAATAGGGGAGTCATTGTTTTCTAATGCAATTGCGGTCGTCGGGTTCCGGATTTAATTCTTGGTCAGAGGTTCTTGTTGTAAAGAATCCATGGTTTTTTGTGGCTTTTGCATGCACTTAACTGGAACAAAGCTTGCTGAGTGTCTTCTTAAGAGCTCACCAGGACATAAATCATGCTGCAAAAGAAAATAAAAAGATGAACATGCATCACTTTGATCAGTGTTACACATTTAATGTATATTCTAAGGAACAAGTTCATGTGAGATACATGGATTGTGACTGAAGATTTGACACGATGACTCTTCTACTTCAACAAAATTCACATTTACATCAAATACTTTACTCTAAAAATATTCATGTTTCAGCTTCTTAATGGAAATGCTCTGAGGGTTTATTATATTATGCTTAAAAGAAAAGCTTGCAGCTTTCCAGCTCCATGGAATACAGACTCAAACCAGTAATTCCGACCAAATTAAGACTCGTGTTTGAAACAGAATTAATGGTGATTGTGGATTCTTTTTCAAGAAAGTTGGCACTGTATGAACACCTTAACACAGAGTCACAGAATGGTTTGGGTTGGAAGGGACCTTGAAGATCATCCAGTTCTATGCCCCAACATGGGCAGGGACACCTTCCACTATCCCAGGTTGCTCCAAGCCCCGTCCAACCTGGCCTTGGACACTTCCAGTGCAAATGAATTTATAATGTTAATTTGTTTATGTGGTCGTTACATAACGGGAGAGCCTAAACAGGGATTCTGGGGGTGAGTTAATCAGTGCTACAGGAAAGGATATTTGCCAGTCTGGACTTGCAAGTCCAGGCATCTTTTCATCCTGCCTATCAAAGACTGAACCAACACCCCCCGCCCTGCTGTCTCTTGGGGCATCAAGGGGGGAAGTGGGTGAGGAGTTCTGTGCTTGTGCTGCTCCTGACGAGTCTTTAGAGCTGTGCAGGAAGGTGACCTTGGCTGGGCTGTGCCAGAGGCACTGGGAGAGTCTCTGCTAAATTCACAGAATCCCAGAATGGTTTGGGTCCAAAAGAACCTTAAAGCTCATCTTGTTCCACTCCACTCTTCTGTGGGCAGGGACACCTTCCACTATCCCAGGTTGTTCCAAGCCCCGTCCAGCCTGGCCTTGGACACTTCCAGGGATGGGGCAGCCACAGCTTCTCTGGGCAACCTGTGCCAGGGCCTCCCCACCCTCCCAGCCAACAATTCCTTCCCAATATCCCATTTAACCCTGCCCTCTGGCAGTGTGAAGCCATTCCCCAGGTCTTATCGCTCCATGCCCATGTCCAAAGTCCCTCTCCAGCTCTCCTGGAGGCTCCATTCAGGCACTGGAAGGAATATATCCCTGTGTACAATATTTCTCTGGTGCACTGAGCCAAAACTTCAGACTGAGGGGAAAAACTTACCCATATAGGTAGTAAAAAAAGGATAGAAGGTAGAATGCTAATTTGCACCATCCTTCTTTCTGGCAATAGGCTAAAATATCTGCATTCATGATGGTCGTAGGGTCGTAGAGCCCCGGGCCGCTCATCACGGGTCTGCTCATGTACCTGGAACGGGGGCACAGGGAGGTGTGGGATGAGGGCCACGGGAAACACTGGATCCTACCCCCCACCCACCAAGGAATACCAGGACACACAACACAACTCTCGCACAGCACAGGAGAATAAAAAATTAAAACACCCAACGAAGCCAAGTGATGGTTCTTATTGTGCAGCCACAAACTTTCACGGTGTCGTGTCAAAAAAGCGTCTTTGTTTTCCCAAGACCCAGAACACGGGACAGGACACGGCAACGGGAGAACAAGAACAATTCACTGAGCACAGCCACACCAAAATTACCTCCAAATATGATAGGCCAACAAGGGCATATTGAGACCCAGTGTGAGCCACTCTGCTGCACAGAGAAACATGACACAGAAGAATGCATGGATGAGGTACTCTGGAAGTACAAGCTGGAAAAGAAAAAGATGAGTTAGAAGTTTCGATCACACAGAGCAAAACGTGTGGCGTTTCAGCTGCTTTGGAGGTGAGTGTTTGCTTAAAAATCATATTTAAAACCAACACTAACAAGAACAAGACTGTGGAACGTGAAAGCAGCAGCCAGCAGTGCTG